TCTGAGAAAGGCTTGGCTTGAAGCTGTGAGAATTGGGACAGAATTTGGAGGTCCAGGGCCTAGAGGGGTCTAGGCACAGGGTGTGGTTTGGGAAACTGCCCTGGCCAAGAATTTTCTTGGAAGCCACAGGTGTTCTCTCCCAAGTCTTAACATCTGTAGAGAGTGATCTGGCCCAGCGAGGAGACTAACATCCCAAATGAGCTTCAGGTAGAAAAAGAGAAGCAGTTTGGCATTCTGGGAGAGACCGGTTAAGAACCTATCTGGGAGAGAGACTAGGAGGGGCAGAAGCTGTGCCTAGAGCTAGGGAAAAATCTCAGAGGCTCTAAGACAACAGGCAGGCCCCAATAAAGAAAGGCAGAAGCCATGGAGGATGACTCACTCCTACATTTCATACATAAACAATGAAACCCCACTGGAATGCTTGCTGGTGGTGAGTAGGTGGGGAGGTTGATGCTTCACTGTAATCAGGGTAGACTTCCTGGCTGTGACTCACTGTAATCAGGGCAGACTTCCTGGCTGTGATAACACATCAGATGGCCTGGAAATTCAGAAGGATTCTAGGGTACAGTTGGAACTAGGGAGGAGCACATACTGACTACTATATCTATTTGCCAGAGTAGGACAGAGAATAACGATTGACACCTATTGGCTGGTTAGTAATAGGAAGGTCTTGGATTAAGGGGTGGATCCTAAAGAGGCCGGGCTTCTTGTTGTTAAAGTACATCGAGTTGGTTCTGACTCATAGTGACCCTGTTGTATAGAGCTTTCAAGCAGTGGCTGGTGGGGTTTGAACTACTGACCTTGAGGTTAGCACTTCAGTGCTTATCCTACAGCGTCACACCAGGACAAGCTGGTGTTAAGTGCCACTGAGTTGGTTCTGACCCATAGCGACCCTGTTTAGGGTTTCTGAGAAGCGGCTGGTGGGTTTGAACCACTGCTCTTAAGGTTCAAACGGATCTTGCAGTCCAGCACATTATCCTGCAGCACCATACCAGGATTTCAACCATTCCTTAAAACTATCCAAATGTGCATTTTAGCAAAATGTAGATGACATTCTACCTGATTAGTGGTATTTGATTTTTAATTTTGAGATTTGTTATGTTTAGAACCCAACGGCTTAAAATTCTTAAGGGAAACCCTATGCAGGGTTTCTATGAGTCAGAACCACTTGACAATAATTAACCGCAATTAAGAATACTTTAAGTCCTGGTGTCCTGGTGTAGTGTTGTGGGTTAATATACTGGACTGCCAAGTTGGTTTGAACTACAAGGTCGGTGGTTCAAGCTCACCAGTCAGTCCTTGGAAACCCTGTATAGGGTCGCTATGGATTGGAACCGACTCAATGGCATTTAACAACAACAACACTTTTAAGTCTGGAGTTAAAATCAGTTAGGGGTGCCAGTGGGTGGATAATGTGATATAGATGTGTGTGTGTTTGTAGGCTATTACAGACTTTTACAGACTTGATTTTCTTCTCCTTGATTAGAAACTAATGAATATGTACTGTAAACAGATTTTAAATTGTAGATAAACATAAAGAAGAAAATAAATATAACCCATAAATATTTTACCACTCAAGATAATAATTTGTAAAGGTTTTGGCATGTTTCTTTTTTATGGATATATATATATATCATGTTTTGCATAATTAGGACTATACTCTATATACAGTTTTTGCAACCATTTACATCGTCAATATTTCCACATTAAAAAATTCTTCAAGACTAACTTTTAATGACTATATTTTGTTGTATGTATATAACTTAAACATCCCCCTATTGTTGAAACTTTCCAATCTTCCCGTGTGATAAAAATTGCAATGATGAACACCTTGTTCATACATATTTTTCTGACTTTTTTTTTTTTTTAAGAGCAAAATAAGGGAGTCGTGATTGTTGTTATGTGCCGTGGAGTCGGTTCCGACTCATAGTGACCCTGTACAGGGTTTCCGAGGCTGTAAATCTTTATGGGAGCAGAAAACCTCATCTTTCTCCTGCGGAACAGCTGGTAGTTTCGAACTGCCGACCTTGAGGTTAGCAGCCCGATTAGTAACCCTTATGTTACCAAGACTCTTGATTACATACTGCGTGTGGCGATGTGGGTTAATGCGCCACACTGCAAAGCCGTTTGAACTGCAAGGTCAGCGGTTCAAGCTCACCAGTTGCTCCTTGGAAACCCTATA